ACTGAAGAGATGTAGCTCCCTCTGTCTGCATACGTCAATCCCTAGAGATGAGGAATCCCATTGGGCTGCTTTCTTGGAACTCCTTTCTTAAGCTAAACAGAATTGCTTTTTCCGTCAAATATTCTGATGTATATGAGAAGTTCTCATATACGCGGACGGCGATGATAAAGAAAAATAATGCGGGACAAATTAAATGATGTGTGAAAAATCAAATGATGGGGGAGATTTCCCAAATTCAAATCTGGGGCGGAATGCTCTCGAGCTTTGGGAACTAGTTTCAAACCCTATCGCATGCTTTCTTTATCGTGCAGCATCGCTCTCAGTAGGGCTCGTAAACCAAAAACAAGGACAGAGGGGAAAGGCAAGTCAAGAGAAGTGTCTGATAGTTAAAAATCGAGATTTTAAGGGGTGGAGGACAGTGGACAGGTTTGGCACATATATATGGCAAGAATGAATCTTCGATCCGTGCAATAAGTGACAGACAGAAGGCTATGCACAAGAGCTGTGCATTTGCTGTTCATTCCTTTCCCTGCATTTTATTATTATGACATTTTATTTAATCTGTTTTATATAGCGTATAGTTGTGTTATTGCTGTTTTATTATTATGTATTGCCGTTTTCATATTACTTAAACTACATAAATAGTTTAATAGGGCGTTGCCCCTTTCTCTGGTTTATGCATTTAAGTGCATCTGGAAACACACCTCCAGTTTCCATTTTCCTCTAAAAGGGCCGCTGAGGTTTGTGTCATCCAGACCGCGTGGTAGATGAGGTGGGATTCCACCTGAGCTACAGTTGCAGCACTGAGGCATCTGAGCCTCAGTTCGCTGGAAAGCAGTGTTGCCAGTCTTCAGTTTTCAACAGGGTTCAGAGTACTGCCAGGGTTGTGGTCAGATCATCAGGGCAGACCCTGGACCCCAAATTTGTTTTGTGCCTCCAAACGGAGGTCCAGGAGCTTAGCTACAGTATAATGGTGAAGACTATACGTGCTTGCAGAAGAAATTGAACGATGATCAGTTTCACAACGGGATGCATGAACTTCTAAACGCTGCTCTGCGACACTAATGAAGACAGGTAACACAAATTGTTTCCTGCTAGCTAGTGATAAGTGCAGTTGTTGTAATTGTTCTGTGTTTGTGAAGAATACTGCACTTGATGTTGTTAAGAGGAGATCATTTGTCTTCTAGCAAGAAGCAAGAGTCCTTTTCTCACTCTTGTGTGTTGCTTTGCAGAGTTTGCCCTGAACTGCACGCACTTCGGGTGCCAGTACAACTGCTCGGTGACACAGAATGGACCGGCGTGCTACTGCAAAAGCGGGTTCGAAATCGACGCAGACGGCCGGACCTGCAGAGGTGAGCTGGGACAAGGGCCGCCTACTGGCCGTTCTGCATGACAGCGTGGCGAAGGAGGGGAACTTCATGCTACAGACTTCATTTTCTTCTGTCTCTCTTCTGGACTTCATTTCCTTTTTCTGAATATTCCCTCTTCCTTCCCTCTGTCTTCCCCTGTTTCTTTTAAGAGCAGTCTATCTTTCTCCAATGTTCGCTTGTTTCATATTATCCATCCATTATGGCTTAGGCAGCTTGTTCCAGACCTCCACAACCTTTTGCGTATGGAAGTGACTCCTGGCCTCAATCCTAAATTCACATCCTCCTGGGTTTCCCTTGTCTCTTTGGGTTAAAGCTTCACTTGCATTGGTCCTTTAGGTTGACTGTCAGCAGCCTTTCAGGATTTGAAAAGCTTGTGGGCATGTCCTTCTGGTATCGGCTTCCACCACATGGCTGAAGGGTTGTGCCACGTTCCCACCACCCTTTGTGTAAAGTAGTCCCTCCTGTCCTGATTGGAGATTTGAAACGCTTGTGTCATGTCCCCCAGGTAGTTTCCTCTGTGAGTCAGATGTCACTGTTAACAGTAGCGTGGGCTGTGTCGATTTGCAGATTCCGATGAGTGTGCCGTGTATGGGACCTGCAGCCAAACGTGCACCAACAGCGAGGGCTCCTACACCTGCAGCTGTGTGGAGGGTTACCTGCTGCAGCCAGACAACCGCTCCTGCAAGGCCAAAAACGGTAGCTCCTCTCTGCCTCACTGCAGCACACCTGCACACACACACACACACACACACACACCTGCAGTCAAGAGTGAGATCTGAAGTCCCTTTTCCCAAATGAGTTCTTTCCATCAAGTGCCACAGCTCAATGTGTACACTCTGCCTACGGAAGACCACATTGGAATTAATGATCCCCTTGAGTTCTTACGTGTTTACCATCCTCAAGACATCACTGAAATGTCAGTGAAATGATTTGTCATGTTTTCCTTTCAGTCCTCCGGACATCAGCGTCTAAAGTAACACTTATTAACAAAAAAGCACCAATCACTGTAAAAATGCATAAAAGTTCATATTAAATGCAAAAAAAAAATCTACCAAAAATCGAGTTGTATTAAAATATGTAAAGTATATTTTATGAGTGACAGATTATGTGCATGCTTTCTTACTAACATTCCAGGTGCACCATCAGTTTAAAAGTAAAAATTCCGACATGCTGTCATGTTTATCTAAGAAATCCTGGGTGATTCCTGGTCTTCCCTGAATTTCCATCTCTGGCATCAGGCTGTGTCTGATGCACCATGCATGAGTTTTGGTCGTCTATGAGATTGCCACTCAGAGTGAAACAGGAACCCCATTTAGTCATAGTTTTGCAATCAGGTATTCGAGCGCTGTTTGTGGTGGATTTCAGTCTTGTTTAATATAAGCCAATAGACCAAAATAGCACTGGAAAAAAACAAGTGAGATGCACATTTTTTTGTTTGGCCATTTTCGCAAAGCAGTTAAAAAAAAAACATATGATAGACTTACTGCTTTCAGCGATTGAAATGGTAATGAGCAAAATTCTTGGCATCAGGTAAAGATCATGAAAATTAAATCCTGCTCGGACCATACAAAACTAAGTGGATACCAGAATGAGTCGGAATGAATATGTAGTGGGAAACAAAGTTGTTGGGTATCAATATGATAAAGTATAAGAAAGAAAAGAATCAGTATAAGAAAGTCAGTATTCAGTATAAGAAAAAAAAGAATCAATTTCATGCACGTTGATGTAGGAACAGGGAGTATCATTTAAGATCTTGTCATCAGAGATTGCAAAAAATAAGGAGATTAATGTATCTGGTATCATAAAGGGAGGTCTTTCTCAGTGATTAATCTCGGAACAGAAAATCAGGATTTGGCCGGGTCGTGGGTGCAGTTTTTGTGTTATCCCAAATCCTTAGTCGCCCATCCCTTTCCCTCTTCCTGTCTCTCCGTGGTGGCGCCTGCAGAGCCGGTGGACAGGCTTCCCGTGCTCCTCATAGCCAACTCCCAGAACATCCAGGCCACCTCCCTGAGCGGCACCCCGCTGCACAACCTGCTGTCCGCCAGCACCAAGCAGACCACGGCCATGGACTTCAGCTACGCGGAGGAGACGGTCTGCTGGATCCACGTGGGCGACGCGCCCGCCAGCACGCAGCTCAAGTGCGCCAAGATCCCCAACCTGAAGGGCTTCACGGACGAGAGGGTGGTCAACATCTCCCTGAGCCTGCACCGTGAGTACCCCCCGCCGTCGCCCACGGAGCGCCCCCTGCAGGGCGGTGCAGACCGCAGGATGGGTGAGGGTGAAGCAGAGCATTCCCTCGACATCCACCCATCCACCGTGGGGGGAGCCAGAGCCTATCCCAGCAAGCGAAAGTGGGGCGCAAAGTGGGGTACACCCCAAACAGGATATCACAGGGCACACGCAGACACAGACGCGTACACGCTCACACGAGAGAAAAGTCTTGCCAGAAGCCAATTAACCTGCCAGCACGTCTTTGGACAGTTGGAGGAAACCAAAGCACTGAAAGGAAACGCACACAAACATGGGGAGAACATACGAACTCCACACAGACAGCACCCATAGAATTGAACCCAGGGCCTCAGCATTGCAGGGTGTCCACTGTGCCACCCCAACATATATAGGAAGAAAAAACTTATAGCGTTCTTTTTTGATAGCCTGGGTGATGCTCAAAAGTGAAAAATCAGAATTTAATTTTTTTTACATTACATTCATCTACGAACTGCTGGGAAGACATTGCTGAAAGCATAGCTTCACAGTTGAAGGGTGGTATTATGTACTATGCTGAATTTGTTTCACCAACTCTTTTATCCAGTGTGTTTTACACTTGCTAACATGTATACAACTGAGTAGTTTACAAGAGCTAATCTGTACAGTACCTTGCTTAAGGGTACAACAGCACTGTCTCGCCTGGGATTCGAACCCACAACCTTCTAGCTCCTAGTCTTCTAGTCCAGAACCTTGCTACTGCACCACAGTGCTTCTCTGTGTCTGTAAGATGCCTGCATGCCTGGAAAAAGAGACACCTTTATTTCAATAGCTACACATCTTAAAAGTGCTCTTTTGTTCTCAAGGATGACTGTGGCCATACAGTGCAAGTGTACTCTCATTGAAATGTACAGTATAATATTACATCTAATCTTGCTTCAGAATGTGGATGCCAACAGGTATTTTTTCCTGATGGATTTAATTGTTTTTAAATGCTGTGCATTGGAGCACAAGTGAAACCATATCCTTGCGTGGAAAGTGACCCGGAGAGGGAGGTCACTGTTTGGGACAGTTGGTGTTAATAGCTGTTGAGTCTCAGCCTCAGCTAACAGGGAGAGAGTTCAGGACCATCCTTGAAGAGGCTTTAGAATGGGGATTTGCAAACGTTGCCCCTGTATTGTGCAAACAGCTGTGTGATTTATAAGTAGACACGGACATCAACACATCTCAGGGCCATCTTTCTGCAAGAGCATCATAACTTTTCCAGCCTCCGTTGTATAGATGAAAGCACATGCAGAATCGTTCGTTCAAGTGCTCTCGAAGATGCTTAATAAGAACACATGCTGGTCTAATCAACACCAGACCAGCTGCAGGCCAGTCGACCAGATCTTGTTTTATTATTATGGTGCTGAAGGAGGACTGTCTTGGTGCACTTTGCAGTGAGTCACAGCAGGACCTGGTGGTGAACTTTTAGGAAAGCAATCTAGAAATGTGCATAGGTTTCTAAAGGCAGTTGCACAATAGGCATGAAAAAGTGAAGTGATCTGACGTAACCTGTATTGACTAAGCAAAGATGCTGACCTTTTTTTTCCCAATTTGCCTGAACTTCTGGATTCTCAAAGGCTTGACACGGAGCCACAGCAAAACCTCTTTTCTTTACTGCAGGAACCTGATTGAACTGAAGTGATTTAATAAAAGAAGATAGAAATAATGTTGTGATAGTCGGTCCGACATGAACCAATTGAACAAGAGCATATGAAGCCTTGAAACCAATTAAAAGAAAACCGAACTGGTCAACTCTGAGGCAAGCTATCAAGTATAAGAATCAGAAAATACAGTGTCAGCTTTAGCAGAATAAATCCTGTTTTATGGGCTTGTTTTGTAGCCCTGTGGTCGCTTTGCTGGTGTTTTAAGTTCTGCCCAAACAGTGCTGTCTCTCTGCGGGCACAGCATTCCTCTGTGCTCCAGACAGGGGGTTGGAGACGCTGTGCCCGGTCACTTAGCCAGCGTCAGGGAATCAAAAACAAGGCAGATGGGATCTTCTGCAAGTTGAACTCTGTCCCTGCCCGTCGTTTCCAGCCCCACGGAGATGCTGCACAGAAACAGCAGTCGACAAAGCCGTTTGCCCTCTGCTCAAGGAGCAGAAAGCGATCGTGCTGGCAGCCTTGAGCCTCTGTAACAGGAGGCTGAAAAGGAGACACAAAAAAACCCATGCAGACCGCGGGCGGGGTGCTGCTGTGTACGGGGGGGATTGAGGGCGATCCGGTTTGGAGCGGGCCACACTCTTTCTCTTGGATCTGTCGTCGGAGCCTTTAAAGATCTTGAGGGGTGAGCAGAGGCGTCAAATACTGGTTCAAGGTAATGTCAATACACTCCGACAGATAACGGAGCCTCGATCCAGCCCGTCTCGCCTTCCTCCTGCTCCCTCTCGCCGACAACAACCCCTTGTCCTGTAGAACCACTCCCTTTCCAAATCCCAAATCCCACACCCCCAATCCTTATCCTTCTGCTGGAGAGTTGCCAACCACCTCTCCCATCCCCGTTCCTCTCGCCTTTGTTATTTGGAAATCAGAAGGGCCGGAGCCCAGTGGAGCAGAATCCGAGATAGGCGTCCTGCCGCTGGCTTAATTAATTGCCTTGTTAAACGGTTATTAAAGCACTTTACTGAGATTCCCCCCCCCCTCCCCAGTCTAACACAGTGCCATGAGGTTAAAGCTCCAGCCGGTGGAGTTTGCTGACTCCGGCTGGAGGAATGTGCAGGAAATTCCTTTGGTTTCACTGGGACCCTCGTGCCGCCCCTCGCGTTAGCAGTGAGAGGCCGGGGGCCGACGGGAGGCCTGTTTAATAGACCATTAGGTATGCACAAGTCAGGGTATTGCCTTTCGGGGCACTGCCAATAGGAAATAATGAAGTGAAGTCGATCGTGAGGTTAGAAGGGTTCGGCTCTTCTGTGTGTTCAGTGGGAGGCCAGCGGCCTTCTCTTTTCGGTGTCTTCTTTGTACGGGTTTCCTGTTGGAAGCATGTCTTCCCTGTCTCTCTGCTCTAGAGGAGTAGGCCTTCTGCTGTAGAGTCAGGGAAGGTTGACCTGCACCAGCTTGAAAATGCTCAGAGGTTTTGCCTGCAGCATTACTGCCTGGCAAAAATTGCCCTGCCATCGCAGGCCATTAGCTGCCTTCATTTTTTTTTTAGTTGCACCTTCCTTTTTAGTTTTGTTGTTTGGGTTGCGCCAGAGTGAAGAGCCCGTCTCGCCCCGTTGGAAAGTCATCTGAGGCTCCCAGCAGCTCGAGCTCTCCCTGATGGCGAGAGCGGAGGTGTGGGGCAGTCAGTTGCTCACCGAACCAGAGCATCAGACGGGAGCAGCTAGAGCAAGCGGGGCACTGCCGTCTCTGCAAAACCCGCTTGGAGTAAACAGGAGGAGGAATGGTGCATGTTTCAGCTCTCGCCAGAATCCGACGTTCTCTCTGAAACTCGTTGCCCCTCTTCCGGCCCCGTGAAGAATTGACCTCTTCCAAATCGGAGGATTATTGTTCAAGCGCCGTTCTTGGCTGGGTTTGGATGCAGGATGTGATGTTCGGCGCTGATTTACAGCCATATATCTGCAGAGCAGATGAGCCTTCCAGATGTGGCTGCAACTGTCTTGCAAAGAAAGTGTAAGGGGAAACTGTGATTTCAGGCCCCCCGTTTCAAAAGCCTCGGTGTGGATGGAAAACAAGATCTCTTCCATCTATTTTTCATGTCTAGCAAAACTAAATTGAAAGCCTAAGTGGAGAAGAGGCTGACAGTGGGAATTGGGCACATCCGTCTCTCCGAGCCTAGCAGGAGAGATTCTGGTCACCAGAGGCTCTTTAATTATGCATTGCTCTTCATGGCTTTCTTGCTCCCTAGCTTGATGAGATGTGCTTTTTGCTGTCTGTACTGCATCCAGCCTGTGATTCTTCATATGCTTATTTTATTTTAGAATGAACCGGCCAGGAACCTGTACGCACTGGGAATCAAATCGTACTCATGCCTGTACACACTGGAGATCATATGCTTACTGTACCTGTACGCACTGGGGATCCCACCCTTACTGTTACTGGGGTGCACTGGGGATCCCACCCTTACTGTACCTGTGCTCACTTGGGATCCCACTCTTACTGTGCCTGTGCACACTGGAGATCCCACCCTTACTATAACTTGGTGCACTGGGGATCCTACCCTTACTATTACTGGGTGAACTGGGGATCCTACACTTACTGTATGCCCTTGGGATCTTTCATTTATTAATTCAGGATGTTGAGAAGCTTTGCTGATCTGATCTCCAGTGAAGGGTCAGTTACTTTAAAAACATTTAACATCTCTAGAGGTCGTTTCATATCTCCTGTAACAGGCTGCAGAACTAAGGTTTTACAGGTGTAGCAGACGTCTGAACCAGCTGCTCTTATATTCTTAATTGGACTTGGTGCTGTCCCACACGTTGGCCTGGCCACGCAGCTCCTTTGCTTGTTCGGCATGCTTCTCCCCCTGCCTGGTCTTTGCTCAGACCCTCTAATCCATCTTCTCTATTCCCTCGCATTGTGGTGTTCAGGGCAAGAGAAAAGTTGCAGCCGGAGTGGGCGCTGGAGTATGAATGCCCGATCTCTGAGCAGCCCTCCCCCCCACCCCCCTTAATTTAATCCTTCAAAGAATTTCCACCCCAGTCCGCAAATCTGCTTTGATTTACATACTTTACAGATTGTTGCAGTGCAAACTATCTCCTCGGGGAGATCTTCCAGACTGTGGCTCAGCTTCATAGCCTTAACTTCAATTCATCCCAAAAGAGTGACCACGAAAGTCACTTTCTAAACAATAAACACTCTTCAAAAGAGTTTCTTTTGTCCATTTTCTTACACTTTTATTTCCATCTTTTTTAATAGTCAGTTTTCAGATCGCTTGAAGAAGAAAAAGCCAAGTTCTGGCACCGTTTTTTGTGGTGTTCGTTTTGTATCACGTGCCCCTTGACTGTGAATTAATACCCACGGACCT